CAACATGGTTGATTTGTATGTTTATTTGCGAAATTATTTTGAAAATATTTATGAAAGCAGATAGCACAAAGTGCATTTTTAAAATGTTAAATATATTTTTGCTGGCATAATTTAAAAAAAACACACAGTAATAATGATGTTACAGCTATTCGATAATGACATATGAATGTTGAAACCATAAGAAAATAAAAATTAGAATGACTACATCTTATTTTTAAAAAAAAGATATCCTAATTTTAATGAATGAGAATGTACTACATTTAGAAGCTTTGCCATAATCATAATGTCAATTAAAAATAAACTGCCTGGTTTACACCCTAGTTTTCATTTTTTGCTAAAATATATTATTAATATTTATAAACAACAGCAAGAACATTATTATCAATAAAATATATACTTATAATAATAATTGGCTTACATTTACATTGCTGTTATTTGGTACTTCCATTTATGACTTTATAGACACAAATTGAAAGCGATCTTCAAAGTTATTCCTATGCTGTGCCCAAAGAGCGATTCTATGGTCTATGCATTTAAGTATAAAATGACATTGAAATTCAGGACTTTGAAGGCACTTAAAGAATGTAAATGAAGTTATATATGGAATACCCATAATCTAATGGTTCAGGGATTAACTTTAATAAGCAGTTAATAATAATCTTTTTTTTTCTTTTTTAAATCAAGTTGTTGTATTTATAACAGGGTTGTGGTATCATCACTCAGTCAGTTTCTCGTGACATGAAGTCACAAATAGGTTTATACTTTCTGATTGCACTTGACTCTGGGAGGGGCTATATACTTGTGGTTTGACTTGGATCTGGTATTTAATACAGCTTGAGAATGTGGGATAAATAGGTTACAACAGCCCTGCTCTAAAGGCTTCAGCTCAACTGTGTAGTTAGTTAGACCTCAATGCATGAAAGATACCAGACCAGATCGCGGGTTAGGATGCAACTAGTGATATGTTTACAGTATAGATGACAATGTAGATTTGACTTCTTATAGAGTCGGGCTTTCAGAAAGAGACAGTATCTTAATTCTTCATTATTCAGTTGTGTCCCCCCCCCCCCCGCCCCTTTGTTTTTTTTTTCTTTTTTTTAAATTTCTTATTTTAATTTTTTTTTTTTTTTGGATTGATTGAATGATAAAAAAAAAATTATTAAAAAAAAAATTGTCAATATTTAGGAATACTTTTTTTTATGCTACATATTTTCGCCACCCTATAGGACATGTTATAAATTGACATTGGATATATCGTATTCAAATGATATTTATTATTATTTTTTTTTAAAGATTTTAAATTCAGCCCAAATAAATGTAAGGATGAAATTCTGATAAATTTGAAAGGTTTCCTATATTTCTCATTTGCATCCATCTACGGGAAAAGTCAGTAAAAGTTCGGATGAAGTAGATTTTAGGACAGTGTCGACGACTCCAAATTATCAAATACGATGTTCTACTGTTTTATAATGAATGTATTTATTTTATAGTTGTGCAATTTAAAAAAAAAAAAAATTTCGTTATTTTACGTTTTCATATTTTATGTGTTAGAAAATATTGTATCCGCCATCAACGGATAACATACTATTTTTCTGAAATTTATTGTTTCGTGCCCGTTTTTAACAATCCTAACTGCAAAGGTATTTAATTTATGTTGATAGGAATATAAGTTATTTCATGCACTAAGATTATTTGATCTCTAACTTAATTACACATTCCTCTATCACAATTCAATTTAAGAAATAAGAAATAAATCTTTTACGTTCTTTGTAAAATTCAAATTTCTTAGTAGAGTCCCTGAAAGAGATAATTTCTATAAATATTAAATACGTTCATTAAACTTGCTATCTTCATTTTTATAACTAATGGAACACGCATAATATATTATTTTAATAATTAAAAATGTCTACATTATAAACTGCAATTCAATTAGAATTTATATTGCAATTTTATTTGTTTCCCATTTTGTTATAATTCATAGAACCTATTCGTAAAAAATAATTACTGCTTTATTCATAATTTGAATAACTATATTTAAGCTATCATCAAAATGTATACTCTCTAACCCTCCCCCCACCCCCAATATCTATTTTATAAATATTTTAAAAGAATGCAATTATTGTATTTTCTAAAAAGAACCCTGTTCCAAAATTTTTCTCTGTTGCTAAAACTATTTTTTTCCCTTTATTTTTTTATTAGTTTTAAATATTGATTTTAGGGGGAGGGGGGGAGATAACTGCATATTATTATGAAAACGTAAAACTATTTCAAAGGTTGTCTTTCCCGAGCATTACCTCCAGACATACGAAGAGGATTATATCATTTAATCAAGTACTACGTGGATATTGCACCTGTCGTATGCATAACAAATGCAAGTTTGTGCATTATCTAAACAGCGATGAACGTAATAGCCACACATTTTAAAATATCAGTCCAGAACAAAGGTGAAATAGGAATTTTTAAAGAAAATCTATTCACTATCAGAATTCTGGGAAAATGATGATGGTGAGTACGCAGGGTGAGAAGCTCATTTTTTGTTTCTCGGCAAATTGCTTCGCCACGAGCTTGATCTCTTGGGCTATGCAATGAAACGTGCCAGGAAGGTAGGACACACATTATGTCTCTAATCCTCCCAGGGGCACTCTTTAGCTGTTCAGGTGGCCCAGGGTGTTATACGTTACTCTGTGGTATCCTATAAACGTTTTATTATCATCCATTACCTTGTTGTTATCCACAGTTGCCTACACGCGTTTTATTACCATCCATTGAATTTTTTGTAAACTGCTGTTTAATATACGTGTTTTAAGATGTTCTTCATAGAGCTTTATTTACGACCACCCTGTCGCTTACAGTAACGTCCATGCACAACACACAATGCCACCAACACCACCCCGTTTAGCTGTAACTAACATTTCATTCGTTCTTTTTCAGCATCGTGGGTCCAGGGCTGGTAAGTTATATTCATATCTGGTAGTTTTTTTTTTTTTAAAGATGGGGTGCATGGATGACGTAACACTTCAATGGATAAGGTAGAGAATATTTGGATTAGTTGGTGCATATCCTATGTTTTATTGTAAAAAAACAAAAAAACAACAATAATAATTTGAATTAATTTTTTTAAAAGTTGTTTTCAAATACGTAAACAATTTACTATACGGTATTTGTCTTTAAGATTTTCCCCACTAGATGACTAGGTGTCAATAATAGACAATTTTCCCCTATTTTTACTATTTGTATTATCACCTGATCAGATACTGTTCAGTTTCTATTAGTCAGCAGTGATAGATGGGGGGGGGGGGGGGTTGTGTATTATTCTGTAAGGGGTCGAATACTACATATTTTTGGGTGTGTGTATGTCGGGGGGTTGGGGTGGGGGTGGTCCTATATCGTTTCGTTGTTGCAGTCCATCATAAGTGGGGACACGTGCTTCAAGGTTTTTTGTTCGTCATTATACTAAAATAATGCTACCAAAATTATGTTCGTTCCTCGTCCTCCTGCCGAGAGCGCATGCTTTGAGTTACTAGGCGCGCGTGTATGTGGTGGTCACGCGTGTGCGTGGTGGTCTTGCGCGTGAGTGGTGGTCTCGCGCGTGAGTGGTGATCTCGCCTGTGTGTGGTGGTCTCATTTGTCACAACCCTTATACTTTTTTTTCCCACTGTGACCCATCTTTTAGTTGTTTTTCTATAACATTAAAAATATATAATCTATTCTTGGCTCGTGGATCGAACAAAAATAGGTATGGGACCGTTCATAAAGTACGTCACACTTTCGAACAAATTTTTTTTGTAGTTAACACCTAATTAAAATTTAATCTAAAACACACTTCACCATTAAACTGTATTAAAATATAAAATGTCCACTTAATTTCCATTATCACATTATTAAAATGACTTTAATTGTAGAATAGTTAATTGTCAACAGTTATCACAGTTATTCATTGAAGCAGTAACTCAATCTAGATTGAATTTGAAAACAAAAATTGCAAAAAATTAGACTAGAAAAGTATATAATACACATCATTTATCTGCTGCTTTTTCATTTACAATCGGTGAGGTCAAGTTTTAGATAATCTTCCGATTATCCAATCTTCCGATTATCCAACCTTTTTACACAGATTAAGAAGTATATTAAAGAAACTTGACCCCACCAAATGAGTAAATAATAAAAAGGACAGTGACATAATTATGCAGCGGACAACATAGAAATGATAATACTTCAGGAAAGATGAAAGCAATGCTATACATAAACAACGCTTCGCAACAGCGTACTAGCGCTCCTAGCGAGAGGAATCGTGAACAAAACATTCAGGAGATACGCATTTCATGCTATTTTGACATAAAACTAATTCGAATGATACACACAATTGTTGAAAATTTTTTTTAAAGCTATTAAATTCTACTAAAAAAATAAAAATAAATAAGAAATAACATTTTTTTTCTAAAATAAATGTGTGACGTCACACATTGCCTGAGCCCCCTCCCCCTGTCACAAACTGTCACATTTTCTTACACCCCTCCCCCCCCCTCTGGAGCGTGACGTACTTTATGGACGGCCCCTATGGGGAAAACCTGGAAATAAGGAGGCAACAAAATTAACATTGTTCTTTTGCGTCTTTTAGTAACGTTTTCACATTCTTTGTTTCGCTCATGTCCCTTTACCTGACCTGATTGCAGTCTCTCCCCCTTACTACTAAAAGTAGGTACCGGGCCCCTTTTTTGCCGACCGATGGTATAGAATTTTATATAATTGCAAGGTTCGTTTTAGGGATTATCTCCCTGCAACGAAACATTTAAATGTAGATTAAAAAGTTATGTTTTAAGATGATATATAATCAATTAATTATTTAATTAAAATTGTCTTAGATTGCACTTTCTTCGTTAGTCTTCAACAGAGATTTTTTGTATTGGATTTTTAAGGTTAATATAATGTAAACTTGACCCTTGTATTGTAATGTAAATTTGATTATGTTGCCATTAACATTTAAACGTAATTTTATCTAGGAACCAAAAAGAAGGACCATTCAGCAATAAAATATATGAAGAAAAGGTCAGTAGTTATTGAAGTATTTGAGTTTTTTTTTTTTTAGTAGTTCAAAGTCTAGATACGAAGTTAAAAGCTTCGGTAGACCATGGGCATGGTCAACATCATCATCTTTTTTTCCCTGTAGAATTGTGTCTTAGGATTGCAGCCTCCCCCTTTACACGCACACACACACAAAATAATAACAAAAAACATCAACCCTAATTGAAGGTATTCTCTATGTATTGTTTGCTTTTATTTCTTTTCATACATTTTAATACATCTCCACACCCATAAAATAATAAAGTCTCCTAACATTTACCCTTTCTCCAAGGATGTGACCATGGAACTCGGAGAAGAGGCGGACGAGGAGTACATAATTGAAACAGAATTAGTCGATAATGAGGTGAGTCTTTCAGTGCTGGGAGTGTGGGTCCTTCAGTGCTGGGAGTGTTGGTCCTTCAGTGCTGGGAGTGTGGGTCCTTCAGCGCTGGGAGTGTGGGTCCTTCAGCGCTGGGAGTGTGAGTCCTTCAGTGCTGGGAGTGTGGGTCCTTTAGTGCTGGGAGTGTGGGTCCTTCAGTGCTGGGAGTGTGGGTCCTTCAGTGCTGGGAGTGTGGGTCCTTCAGTGCTGGGAGTGTGGGTCCTTCAGTGCTGGGAGTGTGGGTCCTTCAGTGCTGGGAGTGTGGGTCCTTCAGTGCTGGGAGTGTGGGTCCTTCAGTGCTGGGAGTGTGGGTCCTTCAGTGCTGGGAGTGTGGGTACTTCAGTGCTGGGAGTGTGGGTCCTTCAGTGCTGGGAGTGTGGGTCCTTCAGTACTGGGAGTGTGAGTTCCTTCAGTGCTGGGAGTGTGGGTCCTTCAGTACTGTGAGTGTGGGGCTGAGATGGACATTAGACCAGCTGCACACAAATATGCCATGAGGACTTGAACGTTTTGAAGAACAGCTTTTACAAAAGGGGAAATCAGCATCAATCCCTCATTGTCTTGGCTGTAGCTTTTTGTTTTCCGGATGATTTTATAGAACATGAAAGTAAATGTAAAGATTCAATTCAAATATGGTCTTTGAAATATGTTTTACCCTAATAATTTTTTAATTTTGTCATATTATATGGTGGTGCTGGTAAAGATGTAACATATATGTAACAATCAAATAGAAATTATTGTTTGTCTAGTCTGAAAAGGTTTTTTTAAATTTGCAAAAAAATATATTTGAAATAAAATTGGACATGAAGCAATATTTAGAGGAACTTAAAATTTCTATTATTTAAAATAATTTTCCAAGAAATCACAGTTTTCATCAATGTACAATAACCAATTCTGTCGATAGCACATATATAACTTTCTTATTCAACTTCCTTAGCATCTCGACATAGGTCCTTTCAAGAATGATCATTCCAAAGAAGTACCTATCAATGGAGAGATCTACTCGGAGCCCTATCTCTACAGCACGGTAAACGAGGCTACGAAGCTGAGGAATTCCAAGAAGAGCAATGGCCGACCGCCGTCTGGCAACACGCAGCTACTGGTCACTGCTAACATGGAGATGGTGGAGCACAATGGGGACGCACAGCATGAAGAAGATGTTACAATTGGAAATTTTGATGATGTCCTTGTGCATCTGTGAGAACGTTTATAATGATGTATTATTTATAACAAAGCCTTAGACAGTAAAATTAAAAGGGTTGTTTTAGTTATATCTTTATCATTTAGTTGACTGAAATTATTAATAGAGAATTTACTTGAACTATATGTAATTAAAACCAAGAAAGGGATAGAGAGTATCTGAGAATCAACAAAGCGCAGGGAAATCTTTTTGTCAATCCTTGAAATCATTTTAGATACACAGACTTTGAGACTTGGATGCTAGGCAACATATATCAGGGAAATTCCTTCGATGGCCCCACTAATGTGAATTTTGTCATGCCCTACCAAAAAAAAAAAATCCCTCTTAAACAATTAATTATAGTTAAATCACTGCTTACAAAGAATTTTATTTTTTTAAACTTCAAGGAAAGTAGTTCAGTTTAATAAATCATATGGGGGGAGACTGCAAATAGTTTTAATATGAGAAATAACTAAATAAGGAACTCACAAAAATGAGAGAAACTTTAAAAAATATATTAGGCCTATATGACTGCACAATGTATTCAGGAGTTATTCTAGTTTTAAATAATCCATCAATAGTTTAAAATTCTAAGGCAGTTATTTGTGTGTACAGCTCTCATTTAAATATTGATACATTTCTGAAATAAACCAAATTTTTTTTTTTTTTAAAGAATATTTCTTTTAAAGACTGGGGATTACATAAGATATGTTGAATTTTCTTATATATAAAACATGTGTAATATTAGTGAGGCTATAAATGAGAGATTTAGAAATTTAAAAAAAAAAGAAGAAAAAGAACATGGAATGAGCTGTATAATCTAGGTCAAATTAAATTTATATATAAAAATAGAAATCGAAAAAAAAATACGAGCATCTGAGTCGACACCAGGGAAATTAAAATTTATCTGCTAAATTGAATTGATCTTAAAATAAACCATCTAATTCCAATAATTGATGACTTTGCATTCAGATCAAATTATTTTTATCACATACAAAAAAGGTCTGATGGCAATAGTTAACTAAACATATTTTTAAGAGAAAGCAAATTGCAGGATTTTATTTTAATTTTAATATAGAAGAAGAAGATGTTCATATAGGTTATTTTAGCTATTCCAAATTTAAATGCCTGTTAAGTTATAATCAAGAAATCAGTACTTTGTTAATTTTCTGTTAGATATAAATTAAATAATTCACTGGATACAAATAATGAATATTTAAATGTGCCTTTATTTAAAAAAAAAATTAAAATGAGCATGATGCATTTATTAATTTCATTTGAAGCAAAATAATTTAATTAAAAAGATGCACACAAATTAAAAAAAAAATTAAATGGATAAAATATTTTATGTAAATTTACAAGTAATTCAAATAAAAATTAATCTTTAAAAAAAAATCATAAATAAAGCATTAAAACAAATGAAGCATTTTAACTATTTACATGAATTAGAAATTATTTTGTTCAATTTTTTTACATGAATTAGAAATTATTTTGTTCAATTTTTTTTTTTAGAGAAAACATTTCCTGATATTTCCACAGTTATTCAGTTTCTTATCTAAATCTGCTAAAAAATCTTTATGATCCATTTTTTTCGCCCAAGTCGCTATCAAGTTTAGCTTCTCTTCGACAAACTTCAATTTTTTTGGCCATCACGACTTAGATAAATTAATAATACCCTATTTAATATGATTATTCTCTTGTCAGCAAACATTTAATGATTGCTTCTAGTTGATAAAAAATAACTAAATATTAATATTCCTAAACTATTTTTATTACTTAAAGGAAAAGATTCATTAAGTGTTTGTACTGATACAAAACTAACATTAAAATAAATTTTAATGAGTATATTTATTTCATTAATCCAATACTGACCCTTATTTCATGATATTGCCTTACTGATTTTAACTATGTAAATAACTCAAATCAGCAGGAATGGTTCAACATTTTATATAGAAGAAAATATGTTTCATTGTTGATATAAAATGTCACGTGTAAAAAAAAAAAACGAGTATCAATATACATTTAAAGATAATTTAAGCTAAATTCTTGATTAGTCCATTCTATGTTTTGGTTTTAAATAATTAAGCTTATCATAGAAACAGATATAATCTGAGTGTGTTCTTGAATTGATATAATCTACTGCCTAGTCAGTGCCTTTTTAAAAACTATTTTAACATATGCACTTAATGTTTCAGATAATTAAACAATTTTTTCCCCTTTAGAGATATGGATTTTAAAGGTTATTGTACATACTAATGTCATTAATGTCATTATTTGCTTGATATAATTTAATTTATATCCATTGCAAGAGAGCTGGGCTCCATTTCTTATTTTGGAATGAAATCACTAGCATTGATGAAAAACCCATAAGAGACAGATCCACCATTTAACAAAAAAAAAGGGGTGGGGGGGGGGTGGGGTTGAATTATTTATGTAAAAAGTATGCCTATCTTATATAAATATTATAAATTGTTAAATATTTATTCCTGAAGACTCGCCCCTAAAATTAAAACCACAAGTGCAGTTTTTCTTGAAAGTTTACTGAGAGTTTATAGAGAGAAATGTGAACAAGAATGTCTTACAGTGAAGATTGTAAATAACAAAATTAAACTATAAGGGGATTTTAATATTTTCAGCTCAAAAGTGTATTTTTTTTTCTCTTTATTATTAAAGGGTATTTATATATAAAAAAAAAATCAGGATTATCTAGGTTGACTGATTGGTTTATTTGTCTAAAATAAACTATCAGGCTATAATTAATACTTGCTTTTGTTTTGTTGTCCGTATTATACATAAGAAAAGAAAATTGTTCATCTATAACTGTGTGATAATGATCAATATTTTTTTGAGCCTGCAATAAAGGCAGAGGATTCTTTCTCATTGCTTTCACTGCTATTCCTTTAAGGACCTGCCATCAATGTTTAATGTGTATTGCTATTACTTTGAGATGCAATGATACTTGAAATATAACGTTTTGATTATAATGATATCCACATTATGAGAGAGTAAAAATGTGATATGTAACCCCCCCCCCTTTCTCCCTCCCTTTCCCTCGTACAGGACTATTTTAATTCCTGGCTCAGTTAAATTTAAAACAAAAAAAAATTACATTGAGATGCAATGATAATTGAAATATAACTTTTTGATTATAATGATATCCACATTATGAGAGAGTAAAAATGTGATATGTAACCCCCCCCCCCTTTCTCCCTCCCTTTCCCTCGTACAGGACTATTTTAATTCCTGGCTCAGTTAAATTTAAAACAAAAAAAAATATATTTATGTAATTTTTCAAGTTGTTGACAGACAAGAACATGTTACGCTGTAAAACAATTTCTGTTATGTTTTATATCAATATCACTGGTAATAATTTTTCAAATATATAATAGAAATGATTATTTTATTTACAATATTAAAAAAAAACTAAAAAAACGATCAAGATGAGTTTCCTTCTTTAAAAAGACTGTCTCTCTACTCGCATTTCAATCTTGAGGTGTGTTATCATTTCCATCTTGTGGTGTGTTATCACTTCCATCTTGTGGTGTGTTATCATTTCCATGATGTGGTGTGTTATCATTTCCATCTTGTGGTGTGTTATCATTTCCATGATGTGGTGTGTTATCATTTCCATCTTGTGGTGTTTTATCATTTTCATCTCGTGGTGTGTTATTCTATCCATCTTGTGGTGTTATCACTTCCATATTGTGGTGTGTTATTCTATCCATCTTGTGGTGTTATCACTTCCATCTTGTGGTGTGTTATCACTTCCATCTTGTGGTGTTATCACTTCCATCTCGTGGTGTGTTACTCTATCCATCTTGTGGTGTTATCACTTCCATCTTGTGGTGTGTTATTCTATCCATCTTGTGGTGTTATCACTTCCATATTGTGGTGTGTTATTCTATCCATCTTGTGGTGTTATCACTTCCATCTTGTAAAGCTTTACTTTTTTTTTGGCACCACGTGTCTTTTTTAAAAAAAAATTAGACTAAGTCTTCCTGTTGCAGCGTTCACCTGGTGAATGACTGAAAAAGATGACTCGGTCGACCGAGGCGGGTTGACACCGTCCCTCAAATCGCATGGTTGACCGCGTGCGCTGCTGCTGCGGGTGAACGGCTGAGCTCAGATTTACTTTTTAGACTTATGACCAGCAAAAATGTTACGTCACTTTAACTAGGACTTTGGAAGTAGTCGATGTTTGAAGACTTTGGAAGTAGTCGATGTTTGAAGACTTTGGAAGTAGTCGATGTTTGAAGACTTTGGAAGTAGTCGATGTTTGAAGACTTTGGAAGTAGTCGATGTTTGAAGACTTTGGAAGTAGTCGATGTTTGAAGACTTTGGAAGTAGTCGATGTTTGAAGACTTTGGAAGTAGTCGATGTTTGAAGACTTTGGAAGTAGTCGATGTTTGAAGACTTTGGAAGTAGTCGATGTTTGAAGACTTTGGAAGTAGTCGATGTTTGAAGACTTTGGAAGTAGTCGATGTTTGGACAAAGTAAAGCATGAAACTGTGTCAATAATTAAAGATTACAATTTCAATAAAAAAAAATAATTAAGTACAAAAAAAAATAATAATGATAAAAAATTCTATCAAAGACGAGGTAAAACGCTCTAAAAATGGATTACGCCAAAAATAGGCCGTGCAGACGTGTCAATGAGCGCTCTATGAACCCAAGGATTTGAAAAGAATTTAGACAAAACTTGAATATTAAAAAATACATATCAATAAATTATTAACACTTTTTGGTCTTTCTACATTCTTACATCCACTACATTCTTATATCCACTACATTCTTATATCCACTGCATTCTTATATCCTCTACTGGATCAATCATACAAACAACACTATGTGACGTAACTCGACACAACAGCATAGAGATAACAAAAACTGATTTATCATTGGCACCCCTACTGTAGCTATAAAGTGATCTAACGCATCCCTGTTTATATTGCCCACAAGGCGACTTTTGCACACCGGGTAATAGCTTTGGTTTGACACAAGCCAGACGATGGTGCGCTTCATAGGTTTTTATGGCTGTGCCCTGTCTCCAGGCAATGTGCCCTGTGTAGCCCCTTGGTCTCTTAAGGGTGCACGTTTATATCACCCAATAAACTCCTTCTGTTTTGTGCCATAAAGATATAAAGTTGGTCGATTGTTAGATGCTCTCAGCATTAATTGAAGCATAGTTTCTTAGCATGGAATAAATCATCTATCACTAGAGAAGCGAGACGTTTTGCTTAGTTGATCCAATAAAACAGACATTTTGCCTAGTTAAATCTCAATTAAATAGACACTTTGCCTAGTTAATCTCAACTAAAGAGACATTTTGCCTAGTTAATCTCAACTAAAGAGACACTTTGCCTAGTTAATCTCAACTAAAGAGACATTTTGCCTAGTTAATCTCAACTAAAGAGACATTTTTTCTAGTTAATCTCAACTAAAGAGACACTTTGCCTAGTTAATCCCAATTAAAGAGACACTTTGCCTAGTTAATCTCTAACACGGCCACTTGACTTAGTTAATCCCTATATAGCAGACATTTTGCTTTGTTGGCCTCCATAAGCCAGACGTCAAACAAACCAATAGGCACTACATTTTTATGTTCCCAATAGGCACGACATTTTTATGTTCCCAATAGGCACGACATTTGTATGTTCAGTAAGGGCTTCGCTCTAGTCATAGAATAATATACCAGTGAAGGCTAAGAATAAATGTGTGTTCTTACGCCCGTCAATATCATGTATGTAATGAAACCTCTCACTGAAGTAAATATCTTGTTACGAGACCTGTCTTCATGAGTATATATCTTGTTGTGAGACCTCTCTTCATAACTAGCCTATGTCTTTATCTTACACACCTTTTCATAACTAGCATATGCCTTGGTCTTACACATCTCTTTATAAGTAGCCTATGGCTTGGTCTTACTCTTTATAAGTAGCCTATGCCTTGGTCTTACTCATCTCTTTATAAGTAGCCCATGACTTGGTCTTACACATCTCTTCATAAGCTGTTATGCCACCTCTCTCCATAAATATTTTCTTGTTCATGAAGGACCCTCTCAGTTATTTGATGTGTAACATGTAGAACACATAGCATTTCACTGAACTTGTTTGAAGGTAGGATTAGGTCAGCTACATATTATAGGAGAGAAATTTTAGATAAACTAATTTATGGATAGTGAGAACCTCTCAGTGGCACTAGTTTATAGATGGAGAGAACCTCTCAATTATGCTAATTTATAGACAGAGAACCCTTCAGTTACACTAATTTATGGATAGTGAGAACCTCTCAGTGGCACTAGTTTATAGATGGAGAGAACCTCTCAATTACACTAATTTATAAATAGAGAACCCTTCAGTTACACTACTTTATAGATAGTGAGAACCCCTCAGCTTCACTAAATCATAGATAGCGAGAACGTCTCAATTAGACTTATATAAAGACGGAGAGATACATAGATAACTGAATGGATTGTGGATGAATACATGAATGTGTAAAAAACAGAAAAATTCAAACCAAATGAAAGAAATCTAAAAACAAATAGCATCAAAAGTAATTCTTTGAAATGGAAAAATTTTAAAATCGCTGACTAGCCCTTGACACTGGCTTTAAGAACATTGAAGACGGCAAAGTTCACCCATGCATGTCTCAAGAAATGTGCACTGTCTTTTATTAACAGTGGCAGCTATATTACCTCCACTTTGCGACTAGACAACGCTTGGCGGGGGTGGGGGGGGGGAATCTGTAAAGCAGTCTGAAGGCAAAAAGCCACGCTCTAATTGTGGGACGGTTAAAAAAAAATATTAAAAAACGTAGATTATCTAAATATATTTAATGAAATAATTTTTTTATCTGCGTGTTACTTAACTAAACATCAGAAATGCCTTCCTGTTTGGTGGGTCCAATGATTTTTTGGTGGGTTTGATGGGGTGGGGTAGTCACTTTAATAGAGCGACATTCAACATATCCTACAGCAGCGGTTCTCAACTTGTTGGGAAGTCGAACGAGCCTTGCACAGGGGTCAACTTTGTCCATCGGAAAACAACATAATTATGACATAGCAACAAGAATAATTTTATGATTTGGTGGTGGGGGGGGGTCACCACAAACATGAGGAACTGTATTAACGGGTCGCGGCATTAGGAAGGCATAGGAGAACCACTGTTCCTAGAGAGTTAAAATTTCGCCCAAAACTGTAATCTTGTTAATGTGTTTCATTGATCAAACGTTGATGGACCCCTCGTTGAGCTATTTCAAGATATGAGACAAGCGGATGTGTGAGTTATCGCAGTAGCTAATGACGAAAAATTGTGACCTCCAATCAGATGCATCCACATCAAAAAAAGTGTGCGTGTGTGTGTGTACGTGTGTGTGTACGTGTGTGTGTACGTGTGTGTGTACGTGTGAGGAGAGGGTATTAAAAAAAATTTAAAGGAGGAAATTATCAGACTGGACGGTTATGTTGTTGTAAAGCAGTGGTTCTCAACCTTCCTCATGCCGCGACCCTTTGATACAGTTCCTCATGTTGTGGTGACCCCACAACCATAAAATTATTTTCGTTGCTACTTCGTAAATATGTGTTTTCCGATGGTCTTAGGCGACCCCTGTGTAAGGGTCATTTGACCCCCAGGTTAAGAACCGCTGGCTTAGAATAACTTCAAATAAGGTTGTTTTAGTGAACACATGTAAGATAACTCCAAACAATATTATTATTTTTTTTATTCGTGAAGATGCAATCTACTACGTAAAGACACGTTCACAAAGACCTGAATGGATTTGGAAAAAATACGCCAACGGTGCTGCAAATATTTATGATAACGCATTAAAAAATAGTGACGCAAAAATTAATTAATTAATAAATCATATACTTAAAATACATGTGAAGATGCTGCGTAATGCATAAAACTGGTGGGCGAAGTTGAAGTTGTCACCTTGGTATGGCAGGCGTTTTGTTGCTCGGTAGATATGAGCAAGATGGTGGATCTCAGTCTCCCGTAATATTTCCCCCCAGCCCCCCACCCCACCCCCGAAATTCACGAATGCTACAATGTCGAGAGAACTGATGAAAACAAATAAGCTATATAAAGCATATGTCTTGGACCCCCCCTCCCCCGAAAACTAAAGCCTTCCGGGGTGAGCAGTCCCCCCTGTCCCATCCCCCTAAACCCATCGATGGTACCTTCTTATAAAATGTATTTTTGATCTGAGATGGTTGAGAGGAAAGGGTTAAAATCCAGTTCAAATAGGGATCAAGTCATAATCAGAAAAGTATTGGTACTCACAATAGACACCCCCCCTTCCTCAAACCCAATTAATATGTATGACTTAGCACACAGGAATGCCATTCGGACCCAGTACTTAAGGACTCGAGTCCTGATTACAAAATAGGCATCCGTTTAAAACAGCATTTCTAAATCCAA